AGCATTTCAAGATGGGCAGCTATGCTAGCTTCGACGTCGGCAACGTTCTCCACCTTATTAAGTCGTTCAAATTTCGTACGCAAGCCCGTATGACATAGCTCCTAACTGCAAACCGTCTAGTTTTAAGTCTGATAAATTAACCACGTACTTGCTAGAATCTCGAACGATTGGCTTCTCATCCTGGCTGTTCTTAAGCGAGTCCTCCAATGAGTATTCCGTTCGTGATACTGGTAAGTACGTGGTGAATTTATCAGGCGTACAACTAGACGCTTTGTCGTATGTGATTGATTACAAAATTCCTTCTAGAGGACTGAACGGGTCGTTAATAGAAGCTCAGTTTGAGAACTTTTTTGATCAATTTAAGTAGCTTCAACTATCCAGTCCTGAGAGTGTTGTTTGGTTTAGAAACAAATTGACTGACATTGCCCACGAAGTTAAGACTGTGCCAGTGACTAAAAAATGCGCACTTACAGGCTGACACCTTCGGGCGCTGCGTGAACTGCGTACTAAGAGCGTAGTTGAGATGAAAACAGATATGGGCTCTGGAGTTGTGGTCATGAACAAAGCTAAGTACGATCAGAAAATTAGAAGCATACTCAACGACAAGAGCAAATTTGAACGATTTAATAAGGTGGAGAACGTTGCCGACGTTGAAGCTAGCATAGCTGCCCATCTTGAAATGCTTCTCCTTCATCGGGTGATTGATAGTGACACATATAAGTGTTTGAAGCCAAGTGGCAGCACCACTCCGCAGCTATACGGGTCACTGAAGACGCACAAGAGTGGAGTACCACTTAGGCCGATTCCATCAATGGTAAATGCGCCGCAGCATAAATTGGCTCGCTGGCTAGTGAAGATACTTTCGCCTTTGCGACAACTGTTCAATCCATATAGTCTTAAAGATTCTTTTCAACTTATCGGTGACTTAGATGACATCAACCTATCCGATAAGGTTATGTGTTCCTTGGATGTGGAATCTCTGTTTACCAACATCCCACTACAACAAACTGTTGATTACATATGTGACCTAGCTGAGTCATCTAGTTATTCGTTATCAATTCCAGTCGAATTTCTAAAGGAATCCTTACTTCTGTGTACGGCAAATGTTGGCTTCCACTTTCAGAACTCCTCATATCGTCAAATCGATGGTGTGGCAATGGGTAGCCCACTAGGCCCTGTACTTGCCAATTTCTTCATGCTGATGATAGAAAGAGGCATATCCGCAGAAATAGCCCAGTTACCATACTATAAGCGTTATGTGGATGACATATTGGCCTTTTGTTCATCGGAGCAGCAGATTGTCCGGTTGGTGCAGCAACTCAACTGTGCACATACCAATTTGCGGGTCACCTGCGAAGTGGAACAGAAGAACTGTCTGCCATTCTTAGACATCCTCATCAGTCGCAGGGATGACGGGCTCATTAAAAGGTCTATCTACAGAAAAGCAACCTGGTCCGGCCAATACCTGCACTTCACCAGCTTCACACCAGTGCGGTACAAGCGGACCCTTGTGAAAACTTAGTTAGTCGTGCTAGACGAATTTGCTCGGTTGATTGTCTAGCCGACGAGCTAGAGTTAATTACAACAACACTCGTGGCAAATGGTTATTCACGTAGATTTATGGAGAGACACAGTCAACAGCGAGGCTCGAAAGACTTGGTGCATACGGCAGCCAAGAAGAAGATCTATATCGAGTTGCCTTTCATGGGTGACTTCACTGTATTGAAAACCACGAAACGTCTAATCTCTGCTACGCAGAGAAGTAACTGTGATGCTCAAGTTGTGGTCATCAATAGAACCTGTAACTTGCCGGTGCCTCCAACGAAGGAAGCTCAACCGATAGGGGCCAACTCACACTGCGTATACACATTCGTATGCGACTGCGGAGACAGTTACATAGGCAGAACCAATCGGTCTTTGACTTCCCGAATAAAGGAACATGTGCCAAGATGGGTTCAACGTGAAATTGACCAGCAGCGCTTCCCTACTGAAGTTCCGTGCTTGCGCAAGCCGCCAATTTCTTCAATAAGTAAATACCTACTGACTGCGCATCACCGAATAGAGCTTGGATCAGCGTTCACACTTGTATTACGGCACCCTAATCCCCGCTTCCTCTGTTTCGCCAAGGCTGTTGCGATAAGCCGGCCCTGTGTGTTCCAATGAGTCAAAAACGTAACCTTGTCCGTTGTCTAACAGAAAGAGCGAGGAAAATATGCACGGAAGATACACTGTCAGATGATCTGAGTTTTATTCGAAGCGTTCTCGAACAAAATGGTTATCCGGACAAATTCATCCGGAGACACATGGAGCCACGAGCACCTAAAGTCCAAACAATCACCGCTGAAAAGCGCTTAATCTACTTATCACTGCCTTTCAAAGGTGATGTGATAGCAGAACGAACTACTCAAAGGCTCTGCAATGCAACAGCGAGAACCTACTTTGCAGCTGACCTCCGCGTCAGCTTCACATCTACGCCAGTCGTGAGTCAGCATCTCAAGGACAGATTGCCGAGGTCGAATATTTCCTTCTGTGTGTACCATTTTTCTTGCTCGTGTCGAGCAAGTTATATTGGAAAAATGACCAGGAGACTGTCTGAGAGAGTACGAGAACATTGCCCGGCTTGGCTCTACACTGGTGTCAGAAAGACAGTAGTCAGCGCGGTGCTGGGGCATTTGGCCGACACAAATCACCAAGTGAATGTGCGAGAGGCCTTTCGGCCTGTCTACAAGATATCTGGACGCCACACGCGAGCTCTCCGATGTCGCCTATTGGCGACAGCAGAAGCAATCGCTATTCGGCTCCATAATCCCGGATTATGTGCCAAAAGAAGTTTGTACAAGCTTTACAGCTGCAATGGCCTCAAACTTCCCCATGTTACGACACCACGCTTGACCCTTCCACTAATGATGCCCAAGCCAGTGTGGTCACTTGATCGCATTAACTGGTCAATTCACTTCATTGATTCATCCTATTTAAATACACTGTGTTTGATTTATTCCTATCATCCGTGGTGTGTTGGCCTGATGCGAACCACCGAAAACAAGCTTGTTCGCCTAACTGTCTTTTGATTCTGATGTCATCTCAGGGATTATTTTCTCAGTTGAAGCAAGTATTTATCAGCTCAAGACTGTCGTGGACATAGGGGTGGAACTTCCGTCATTCATTTTGCACCTCATGCTTAATCGGTCACACGCATATTTAAGTATATATTTGCATACCGATTATTGTTAATGGTACTGAGGAGACAATACGAAATGCATGCATCCACCAGTTTTCGTCTTCTTACAGTGCTTTACAAAATTAGGTTACACGATCTGCTCTCTTTTGTCGATACACCGGGTTTATTTCTGCCCGAATGGAAACTCCATACGCGAAAATCGAATATTTAACCTATCATTTGACTTATAGTATCCGAGCCCTTCGCTGAATTTGGCTTTCGGAAAGTTCGGCAGATGTTTAAAGTATATTTGTCGTTTGGTAAGTAAAACGCTCAGATCAAGCCATCTTTCGTCCGGATGGATGTTCCCATAGAATAAACGAAGTTTTTGCGTGTTTCGCACTCGAACGCTGCGGGTCGCAACAGAATTTGCGATGCATCACAGTGTTTTTCAGGTAACAAACGGATTCACGGGATTGTTCGATTTCTCCAGTTTTATTTAACCTTATTGTGGGTTCAAATATCCAGTGCTGGTTTGCCAAATCTCATAATGCAAGCATTAAAGTGCATCTTCTCATATCGTCAGCACAAGATGGTTTACAACGAGTGGTAGTGAGAAAGGTTTATAACTAACTCATTTATACACGTTCCATTGATCTGGACTCCGGTTGTACAGCAGAATCTGCCAATTATCATCCTACCAATTGAATGCATCGGAATAGTTCGAAACTAAATTGGGAAATCGGCGTCTTTTGAAACGCTTTATGATACATCTCAAATGAAAACCTTGTTGAAGGACACACAGTGAATTGTGTGTAAAGCACGTTTTGGTAAAGCAGTGAACGTGAGCACTTAACAGCGATGCACACATGTTACCTAGGAAGACCAAGCAGGTGAAATAACAGAAACTTGGAGTAATACTCAAATCTGCATGTACTACAAGCGGTTGCAACGGAATTGGGTTAGGTAACAACAAAATCATATTGATTATGCACATGCAGACGCATTCACAGTGGGTGTTGATCAGACAACAGTGGGATAAAATAGTTCATCATTATGCTAAGTCCAAGTACCTTTATTATTCGACCATTAGATGTACACTTGGAACTCTACGCGTTGTTGCCTTAACTCGAGTCGCTGCAATGACAAGATGAAAAACGATAGGAACAGATGAAAATTGTCTGCAGTAAGAACATTGCGATCGTCAGGTAGGAAGATAGTGTTGGAAACAAGGAGTCTAATGCAAGTGCTACTAAAGTTGTGAATAAATGAGGAGAACTGCATCACACCGGCATTCAGTCATAATGCCTCTGTCATGCAGCTGCAAGCGGTTGTACGCGGGTCAAGTAGGGGGATTCGCAACAGGGATTGCAAGTCAAATGCTTGAGCTGATACCTCAAAGACTTCCCACACTGCGATTACACTAGATGTGATGGAATTCCCATTCATCACTGTGGTCAACTGAGAGACTCACAAAAGAAACTATGGTACACACTAACCTGACCCAAAGTTGCAGTCAGTATCTTTGTGTATTTTTCATTGGGTTTTGGCGCAATTACATTTAGAACAAAGGGGCCGTCGTGGCACCTAACCGCGCGCTTCTGTATGAGTAATCTTAAAGTTCACTGATATTTTCAAAGCAGTCTGGCTCAACATGAGCTGCCGTATCATTTTACCTAACAGGGCTCTATGGAAAATGTGGCAGCTTGTCCAATCGTGCGCATGCAGAATGAGATCAGTGCGTCTAAATGTGCATCGCTATCAAACCAAATAATTCCCTCATGTTAAACGCTTCAGCCTTGTTTAGTCCTATTCGTACATCCCCCTTTTCCTTCCAGTTCAGGTTGTGCGCATGATATTCAGCTGATTCTTGAACCCGCCACTATCTGAAGGAGATCGCGTATCACAAATGAGTGGATTTTGATCTGCGAAATCAAGGGAGAGATGTTGGCAGTAACCGCGGTACGCCCTACATCAATTAATCACATGCCGAATGAAGGGAGAACAATGAGCAACCAATCATCTTCGCCAAAAATATCGCAAGGATTATTCGATAAGTTAGGTGAGTATGAGGAGAATCGAGCTAAGAAGCGGGTCGAACTTGCCAGAGAATATGAAGTCTTCAAAAAGATAGACGATGAACGTTTCAGAAATAGATTTGCAAATAAGAGGACCTCCGAATCCAAGACTAATCCTCCGCCAATGAAAACGCATTCGGAGGGAAAGGTTGAAAAGTCAAAGAATTCCTTAGAGAGAAGTGACTTGAAGTCAATGGCTTGCCAGTTGGAAGAAAAGATTAATCATAAACTTGAAGAGCTAGCTAAGCGCATCGACGCGCTTGGAGCTGTTAGAGAGCACTCCAAACGAGAAGAGAAGTACGAGTCAGTGGAATCAGTGACCAACCAAAGGTAAGCGTCAGAAAAATCCTAACAGAGTTCAGAATGGAATCAAATAATAAAAGTATGCATTCGGATTTCGATGAGCAACCTGGTTTAGAAAACGATCAGTCCAGGTGAGTGTCGGTATTTCACAATATTAATTATGATATAGTTCGAAGGAGAAGTTGCTTGAACGCCTAAAGAAAATACAGGAAGCACACCGTAAATTGGAGTCCCTAGAAAAAGAATATGTTCATATGCGAGCAAGCCTTTATGCGAGTAACCTAAAGATGAATGTTGATAACCAATCTCAGGTACTGCTGGAAGAAAAGCAACCTGATACATCAAAGGGTACCGTTCTCACTCGTTTCGAAGGTGAGGATCGTGACGATGCCGAACAAAGACTTGCGAAGAAAGAAGCTTATGGAAAAGAGCTTCGCCAGCAAATTTTAGAGACCCAGCAGAAAAGAAAACAGCAATTGGAACAGAGTAAATTTTCTCGTTGCACATCGCTAGAGACAAAGGGAGGAGGAAAAAATGTCAGCGAAACTTCTATTCTGAACAGTGCGCCAGGGGTAGGATCCCTTGATGTATCATATACTCAGAAACACTTCATATTAGGCGAAAGTAACACGGTAAAAGAGGTTGGAAACGGAAAAACGTCAGATTGTTTCAGCTCAGAAAGTAACTCTGCCAATTCATTATCCCAGAATAGGGGTTCTATTGCAAACAAGGATGCCAAAGTTAAGTATGCAGAAGAACTGAAGAAACAAATAGAGGAGATGAGACTTAAAAAGGAGCTCCAAAAGAAAAGTGATGAGGAGTATGACCGGAAGATACAAGCAGAATGTGCTAAGTATGATGCTTCCAGTCAAATGTCCATAAGCGGCAATCAAACTGCAGGTGTGTACAATTTGGAAAGTACATTGAATGGAGATTCAAAAGCAGAATCAAAGTATGCTCGCGGCGGGCACGGGATATTCGGTAACCCTTTGACAGCGGACCAAAAAACAACTCTCCAAAAGTACAAAGAAGACCTGGCACTACAGATAGCGGAGAAAAGACGCAAGCATGCAGAACAAATGGAGAGAGAAAAAGAGGCAGAACGGCGTGAGTCTGAGAGACTGCTTGCCGAGCAAAAGAAAATGCAGAAAGAGTTTGAAGAAGAGAGAATACGCATGAAAATGAACTGTGAACAGTTGAAAGAAAGTGTAGGGACTCAAAATTCGGAATCAGATAGGAAAATGTCATTCAAAGTGCCCCCAACGACATGTCCTCGAGAATCTGCCTTAAGTTGTCAGCAGAAAAAGTATCAGAGGTTAGAGCAAAAAGATACTACCGCCGAAGGAGGAACAAGAAGAGAGAGTAACCACGATGATGAATTGGTATTAGACCCAGATTTACCGACATGGGCTTTAGGAGCGGATCGAGATTATGCTAAATCCGATCCTGCCCCTGCTACGGAGGCTCAATCATCAATCATCGACCAACTTAAGCACTTTCGAGAGCGACTGAGCGCAGAAAGGCAACGAATCAACGATACCTTGAGTAGACGCCGTGTGGCGGAGAAAATTGATGTCCAGTCTCTAGGAGCACATGAGGGCGAAATTAATAAAGTACATCCTAAAGTGTCTAAGAAAGGAACCGCATTATTTACCACTCCTAGTCAATTCGACCAAAGTGACGGAAAAGGAGAAACTGACGGAATTAGGCGGAATGAAGAGTTGTTGACTGAAAACTCGGTCGAGGAAACTTTTGATAAACTAAACGATCGGAAACTTCAGTGCTTGAGGGAGAAAGATAACAGTGAAGGAGTAAAGCGAACTGTGAGTAAATTGCCAATACTAGATCATAAAAACAACCGGTGGGGTGCGAGGAAATAGTGGCCTGCAGCCAGAAAAGGTGCCAACCGCCACCGGAGTTGAGTGATTGAGATGTTCAATTTCGAACATTATGAGAAAGTAAAAGCATCGAGGAAGCGTGTATTTACCGAACGATGAAGGTACAAACTGAGAGTCCACATCAAATAGTCCAGAGACAATTGATTCCACATTGTCTGGTAACCTACGATCTACCACGTTGATCTGTGCCACACACCCTAATGGATGATAAAAATTTGTACCTGCGCCAATTCTTTGCCGTATCATGTCGCTTGTGTAGTTGAAAGTGACGGTCACGGATATTCACTGTTCATCACTTATTGAGCGTACATCGATAGTGATAGCGATAAAAATGCCAGTGACAATGCACGCATCGCAGCGAAATTTGCCACATTCCATCTTCTGATGGAACAATGCGTTTTGCACTGATAAAACTTGGACAGTAGGTAAGAAGAGCGAAACCAGAAACAAATAACATAAGACTAGCGCGTATCAGTGGATCTATCTCAAGAATGCAGAGTGAGGGTTACAGGCTTACCAGCAGGGCGAAAAGCGTGCACTAGTTCATCAAAATTCAGCCACATACTGCATCGGATGTAGCAGGGTTCAAATGGGTCACCACATTTGCTGCATATAGTAAGGTCAGTAAATGAAAGCATGCTACTACTGGTGCCTCGGTTTCACCTACTATCTCGATCTACATTACTAAACTTTCTTCTATAATTCCCAGCTTAAGTAAAAGCAGCCCCAGTGCCACGGCAGTTCTACCATCTGCATCTATCTTCCAGCATCACTCACCGGACGCACATCGTCGACCGACGTTAATACGTTTACACTGTGCGGTGTAGGCGGCATTCAGCGTTAGCACCCAACAGACTGCACTCGCACACACAGACGATGCACACCCTAAGTATGCACGTGTGTTGCGTTTCATAAACTAGGATCAAATGCCTACATATAGTTGTGGAACAAAGTGTGCCCGCCACAACATCTTCTTATCGCTTATACGCATCCGGAGACGCTAATAGGGCAAGCATTAGCCCAGTCGGGGTGGGCATCGTTCTCAGCTCTAAGGCCTAGTCATCGTCAGTTGACGGATTCCCGTGAGCCGCGATTAGGACGCCGTAGATTTGAAGTTTATTAATAAAGTAGCACTAGACGCCGGTTGTTTCTTGGTTTATGTTTGTGCCTCCACCGACTGATGCCGACGACACAACCTACTACGAAGTGGATACCTTGCTTCTCGGTGTTGCCAGTTCAGATATCGGTGTTCCCGCGAGGTATGTGGATCCGCAAGTAGGTTGTCTGAGATCTAAAGAAGTTCACCTAGATGATAAGTATGGGCTTAAATCCGAAAAAATGCACAATGGTGAGCGCAGGTGTGGCACTGTGTGCGGAGCAACCGATGTTCCTTAGCAGCACCACTTTTAGACTCAGTCCGTTCTAAGGTGTATTTTACATTGCCCAATAAGTGGCCAGTGATGTTCTCAAATAGACCAGTTTACCATAAACTTTTGGTGACATCTTTCTGTCCTTGACAGTCACTCGTTCTGGAGTACCTGACCATGTTTTTGTTACGCTATCGTTTCTCAGTAAACGCTCTTCCTCTATTGGCATCTGAGAAGTTATCCCTTGCGTACCGAACTTTCGCTCTTTTGCTCTAGCTACACAGAGATTCAGTGGAATAGAATCTCGACCGCCATGCAGGATGCGGGAGTCTCTGTTTGTGGCGCTATCAATCATCACCACAGTAGTCACTGAATGCTCGATAGGTCAATGAATCTGGTGGAATCCAGAAGCAAACTCCCTGCTGGTTGTGAGCACAATGCAAACAGACGGACTATTAGACGCGAACTAAAGCGGAGTCTACTTACTGACGAGGACCAATGAGGGTCAAAAAACGGAAGGTAGTCATTTATCGTAAGCTCATCCAGCTGACCCGCACCACTGGTTCCATGAAGACGGGCGTCAGTGTGACAGTTAGAGACGGCGCTGGTGCCCAATAAGGAGCGCCGTATAGCTCGTTTGGCGGAACACTTTCGAGATCAGTTCATTTGGCCCTCCTTATTCCGGACCACTTACTACTAAGGTAGTTTGGGCTGAGTTATGAGCCGCGAATTTGCAGATTCCGTCGGAGGCTGACGTCCGAAACACGGTCATAGCTCTCAAATGTTTTCGAGGTCCTGGTCCGGATTCCCGTGAACCCGCACTATTTAAGAATGGTGGTGAGGTCCTCTGCAATGTACCGACCCGCGTGTTCAAAAAGTACTGGAAGGAACAGACAATCCCGCTCAACTAAGTTGATCGAGTTTAGTTGCAATATACAAGAAGTGTAGTCTCACCGATTGTTCTAACCCCAGGGGTATTAGCCGAAAGCTGATGGTGACAATGTTACTGGTCCCAATTCCCATTCGCCGCCACACTGCGGATCGAGAATATCGGACTAGAGAAGAACAGGCAGGTTTTCACCCAGGACTGGGAAGAATAGAACATGTATTCACTATGTGGTAGGTGATAGAGCACCATCCCACGTACAGCAGAAAGATAGCAACTGTTTTCCTCGCCTTCAGTGGTGCGTTCAACTCAGTCGTCCTATCCATTCTGTTCAAAATAATTGCACACAAAAGTGTTCCCATGCGATATGTGGACACTTTACGTGTTCTGTACCCGCGCACTACAGGCCGCGTCAGGGTTTACGGTGATTTGTTGGATGTCTTTCCGACAACAAGTGGCATTCACCAGAGTTACCCAATTCCCCATTCGTTTTCAACTTCATCGTAAACTCCGGCCCGTAGCCGGAGGTAATGAGCTTGTCTTGTGGCGCGGGTTCGAGCCTGTGTAAGGGCAGAGCGATCCTCGTAGTATCCTAGCCCACATGCGACCGTGATGTTTGCACGGCAGCGAAGCGTCGGCACTACGTACCGGCGTACCGTTGATGCCTTTTTCCCATCATGGGATGTTCACTTGCGGAATGTCACGATGTGGGCGTTGAGGTGCTGCATGGTACCGACAGTGCCGATTTTGATTAAACGGACGGTATTATCTTTCTGTTTAATGATATTGAGATTGTCAAATCAAACCTGAACAACCTATCTAGTCTGGTCACATCATATGGCATGCGCCTCGCACCTAGTTGTAAAATCATCAGCCACCTGATCTCTTGGTAGCGAGGAACTCGTGCTAGTCGATTAACTTACCTTGGCATCTGCATTGGCAACGACGAGCGTTCGAGTGCTGTGATCATTTTGAGAATTTTGATAGCTAATACGATCTTGCATATTTGACATCAGCGGTTTCCTTCGGTTTGAAAACCACAGTGAGGGCCGTTCTACTCTAAGAGAGTGAGACCCGGCCCCTTCTGAGTACTGTATTGTGGAGCAAGTAGAAATGAATTCTATACAACTTCCTCGAAATATGGTGAAGAATTTTGTACAGATTGTCACCCGTGAATATCGTTATCTTTCGCACGTAACATCTCTGACTCACAGTATTGCAGGAGTCAAAAATATGAGATCTCATCGTAAGTGTGTAATCGTTCTCTGAATCGAAAAGTGATAAAAGGTAAATCCAACAACGCTTTGAACTGGTGCACAGATGTGGCCTCTATCACACGTTCAGGTAAACCGTTTCAAATATTTACTACTCTCGGTTCGAAGCACAGTGAGTGGGGAACTCACTTCACATCGGGCACCAAAAGTTGGCATCTGTGGCCGTGTGTGATGCATTGCCCTTGTAAGTGTAGGATTAGCCTCAGCATGGGGCAGTCACCAACACGTAGAATACGGTAGATCATAATGAGGTCGACTCGCACCCGACGGTAGGACAAGGTGTAGAGTCCTAATCTCTCGAACCAGTCTTCATACGGCAAGCCACGTAAGCTCGAGGTGAGCCTGATAGCAATGTGTTGGAACCGTTTGATCTTCTGTGCTTCGCCTCGGGTAATCGGAAAGTAGGCGGGCGAACCATACTCTAGCATTGGTCTAATGATGGAAGAGAAGAGGCGAGTGTGCCGAAGCTACGTTTGAGCGTCTAAAGCGTGCGCAGTTCGTTACGATATAGCTTGCTCGTATTGTTCACGGACTTCAAATCGCAGCGCGAGAGTACACCTAGGCTCTTTCAGATCTTTGACCAACGCTGTCTGTGGGGCATTGCTGGTGTCGGATGGCACCAGTGTGTCCGCATCGATGATATACCTAGGCAACTATTAGGTGGTGATAATGAGGCTAGTTTTTGATAAAAGGAGACAGCACTGAATAGATTGCGTTGGATTGGACATGCGGCGTATGCCTGGTCATCACTTGCCGACGAAAGCCTTGTGTGCCGGATGTAGGAGGGTTGACTAATGTTCGGGGTGGGTAGTGAGAAGTGAAGTCCCTGACTACAAAATTAGCTGTTGGCCCGTTTCGCCCTGCAGACTGTAATTCAGGTTACCCGCATTGTGCTTGTCTCGAGACATTAGAGGACTTGTCCTACTAGCCTCCGACATCGGTATGATCTCAGCCTTTCACTAAAAGGTCGAGTCTGCACGGATACAGTAAGAGCAATGCCGCTATATGGCTGCATGATGTGGCCTGTTCACGTGAGCTATGCCCAGAGACTGCTTGTCTTGGATCACCACTGCCTTTGGAGCGTCGCAGCAGCATCGCATTAGTAATGGCGACGTTCGACGTCGGATCATCAAGTCAGACAGACTCCGCCAGCCAACTGACTGTTCAATTTCCTTTTGTGTGCTCCAGTGACTCGAACACGTTCTCCATATGCCTGCTCAATTGTTGCCCCACCACGATTGGTTTGTATGCGCCAGCGTTGATTGGAACTGACGGAAAGGTGGCCTACACACAGGCTGAGTCTGGGGTGTCAAGGCGCTGCCAATGCAGTTGGCGAGTGGGGCGTTCCTGACTACTAGGTTTGGCGCCAAAAGACAATGAGTACACCTAACTGGAAACGCTATCGCATATGGTGCGGAGTCGAACGCAGTGGCAAACGTGTCGCGGCTGTTTTATCACATCTACATTTTGCGCCAATCGCTGGAGCACCGCCATATTTATCGGCGAACTACCGTAATCGTGTTCCCCGACATCAAAGGCACCTTCGATTCCATTGATCGATGTGCCCTTTGTGAAGTCTACACAGGAAATGTGTGCACGATAAATATTTATGTCATAAGAGCGCTGTACGCCCATACTTCGGGTAGACTGAAGGATTACGCCAGCAATGTGAAACAAGGTTCCCTGCTGTCAACATTACTTTTTAAGTTCCCCAGTGACGAAGTCATGGAGAATGGGTTTACTGGACATGACCTACAACGGCTGTAGTTGCTCCCGCGTGATAGACTTCTTAATTTGGAGTGTACCCCATCTGTGAGAGCTCCCAAACGTGTCAAGTAGCACTGGACAAATTAACATTGGCTGTCAGTAGTTTCGGGCTATGCTTTGCATCCTAGAAATGTGATGTCCTTCTCCTAGATTGGCAGACACCCT